AGTTGGCCATGTGGGAGTCCAGAGCCCTTAACCACCATGCCACCTGCCGGTCCCAACTGGGGACGTGTTCTTGAAGAAGGGTGGAGAATAGAATAGATAGTGGTGGCATTGGTGACAGTGGTGTTAGAGCAGAATGATGGAAGTGGGAAATCTCCATGGGGAAGAGCTGGGACCAGCAACTTGACCTCCCTGCCCTCTGGGGTCTTATTGAATGGGCACCAGAAGGTTTTCCACTTAAGTTGCTTCTGGTCTTAGGACCAATAGTTAGCATGATGGCTACGTCACTGGACTTCCATGTAGTAACCGCGGTTCGAGTCCTGGGCCCGATGGCTGAAACTCATGCCGGGTGCGTGTGCGTGCATGCCCAAGATCCCGAGAGGAGATTGGAGGAGAAGGGATTGCAGCATGGCCATCCCCCCTGAGGAGTGATCTCTCTATCTCTCACTGTCTCTCTGTCTGTCTGGCTAGCGCACACATCTTATAGCTAAAACCTCTCAAAAAAAAAACCTGCTTCTGGTCTCTAACTTCACCCTCCCCACATAGCCAACAGGCAGTAACACTTCTCCTAATATCTACACATGCAACTTTATCACTTCTCTGCTCGGAGACATTCCATGGCTCCAGTCTGATCCGTGTTTAAAGACAAATTCTGGTGAATGATATGGAAGGACTCAGCCAACCCCTCCGCAGCTCTTTGCTTCTACCTCTGCATCACTCCCTGTTTCTGGGCCTTTGATCAGGCAGCACCCACTGTCCAGAATATCCTCTGCCCACTCATTGCTTGGCGGAATGCTACCCATTCTCACCACCTTTTGAGGGCCACCAATAGCCTTTATGGTGCCTTTGTATGCATTAGAAAAGGGTTCTCTCTTTTTTTTTAATTAAAAAAATTTTTTTAAGAGTTTTTTGCTATAGGGCACGTGCGCTTGCCAGACAGAGAGAGACAGAGAGACAGAAAGCAAGAAATCACCCCCCAGGGGGGATGGCCACGCCTCAATCCATTCTCCTCCATTCTCCTCTCAGGATCTTGGGCACGCATGTACATGTGCCCAGCCTGAGTTTTAAGCCACCGGGTCCGGGATGTGAACCGTGGTCGACTACGTGGGAGTCCAGCGACATAGCCATTATGCCAACTGCTGGTCCTGAAAAGGGTTCTCTTTTGGGCCAGCAGGTGGTGTGGTGGTTAAAGTGCTAGACTCCAACATGGCCAACCGTGGTTCAAGTGCCAGGCCTGGTGGTTTGCTTTCTCACTTTCCCTTTCTCTTTCTAATGTCAAATTAAATAATAATAATTAATAAAATTAAATACATAATTCTTTTTTATTTTTTTAGAGAAAGAGATTTTTGCTATAGAGTGTGTATGTTCACTGGAAAGGCAGAGAGAGACAGAGAGCTAGAAAGCAAGAGATCGTCCCCTAGGGAGCATGGCCACACTGCAATCCCTTTCCCTCCACCCTCCTCGCAGCATCTTGGGCATGCATGCACATGTGCCCAGCGTTAGTTTTAAGCTGCAGTCGACTATGTGGGAATCCAACGAAAACATAACCATTATGCCATCTCCTAGTCTCCTAATTCTTTTTTTTAAGAATTATTTTATTTAACTTTATTTTTAAAATTTGACCAGAGAGAGACAGAGTGAGAGAGGCCACCTGCTGGCCCTGGTCCCATAATTCTTTAAAAAAAAAAAAAAAAAAGAGGGGGAGCAGCTGCATGCCAAGGCTTGGGAGAGGCCCACAGGCTGGGTTTCACCATGCTTGCCGCTAGCTCAGTGCACTGTGAGCCCGCTGCACAGCTACGAGGGTACCGCTTTCAGGGAGCTTTCTGAGCCTCATCAGCCAGCGAGGCCCTTTCTCTGCTCCTTGTTGTTCTCTTTCTTCAGATGCTGAGCAGGCTGCCCTGATTTGGAGCTGGCTGTTTCTGGTTTGAGTCCTTCACCCTGCACAGCGGGCATCTCCCCAGATTGATAACATCAATAGCTCTTGGGGGGAACTGAACTCCAGCCACAGGGCACAGGTCTTTCTTCCCACTCCCTTAGTCTTCAGCATCCCAGCAGCAGAGCGGCATCCCCCACTGAGCTGGACCAGGGGCCACCTTGGACTACGCCTTAGAAGTGATTCAGGCCCAGAGACCAGAGACAGTAGCATCAGCCACTCAGAGTGACACAAACCTGAGTCTCAGAAGCCACTAGCTGGGAAGGGAGGATCCCTTTTTGACTTCCTTTGCTCCTGGTAACACTGGAGCCCAACTCTGAGTCCTTTCCCAGAACCCTGCATCGCACCCCGACTCAGGTGGCCCGCCATGCTTGTAGAGATTGCCTCTGGCCCACCACTCAGAAATGCACTCGAGAACACCTTCCATTTAATACCTTTATTTAATCTGCATCTTCTCTGCCTCCTCCCTCCCCCACCGGCCCCTGAGAGGGGGTGGAAGCCCCAGTTGGAAGGGAAGGGACTACTCTCTCCTCCCTGGGGAGGGGCTGGGTCCTCTGGGCCAGGCCCCACCGATGGGTGAGGCAGAGTCCTCCATGACAGAGCCAGGGCATCGTCCAAGAGGCTGTGACTGAGGCCAGGGCCCCTCGGATGCCCTGTGGCCCTGGGTCCCGAGGATCATCAGGAAGGTGAAGAGCAGAAAAGCTGGGGGGAGTGACAGAGAAGCTAGGGGCATGTGCATGGCGGACAGAGGCACAGATGTTGGGAGGCAGAAGCAGAGATCACAGGGTGTGGGGGCCATGGTGGGAACCCTGGGTTGTAAGGTAGCTGGATGGGGACAGTGTAGTGGGCACCAGGGGGAAAATCATGGGGGTTAAAGTGGGGAGGGTTGTGCTCCGAGGACCAGGCACCCAGTGGAGGAGGCTGCACTGCAGGGTCCAATCAGGGACTGGCCTTGAGCTGAGGAAAGAGGGCTTGCGGGGAGGGACCTATCAGGGGAGGAAGATGGGAATTTGGGGCAGGGAGTGGGGCCAAGGCCACGGTGCTACCATAGCCAGCTCTTAGATTCGGGAAGGCCAGCCCAGTTGGGCATGGCCCCAAACCACCAATTTGTGCTTCTGAGTTGCTCAAGGGCTTCCAGTGTGGCTTCAGCCAGGACTAGGCAGAGTCCACAGGCAGCCCTCTGCTGCAGTCAACAGCTGTCCCCCGGACTCGGTCCCCATCCCGGCCTTTCCGGAATCTTCCTCTCCTGCCCAGCATGAGAGGTCCCCAAGCCAGATCACCTGCCATCACAGGGGGTGGGACCTGGTGGGGGGAGCCATGCTGGGGACTCAACGTAGGTGGCATCCTTTCCCCTAAAATAACCACGGGTCACTGCATTTTAGTCTGTTTAAGGAACCCCACCCCAACTCCCACCCCTTGTATGTGGCTGGTCTGTTTTCCCTCCTGTTTTACGAATCCTCAGGCATCTAAGCCAATGGTGAGATGGTGAGGAGGGGGCCACTCTGGGGGCCATGGGGGTCTCAGAGCGCCCCCTGCCCATCCCCCTGGCAGCCGCTGTCCCCATGGACAATGAGCACCGGGAAGTAAAGGGCGTCCTCGTAGCATGGTGGGCTCTCCAGAGGCTCCGTGTCCTCTCCACGGCGCCCCAGGGGCCCCCCACTCAGGCTGCGGAAAACCCCTGGTGTGGCCCGGCCTCCAGCTCCTAGTGAGAGGCGGCTGCGGCTGAAGGGCAGGCGGGGCCCACTGGGCCGGGCAGGGGGCAGCGAGTTGCTGCTGACAGAGCGGCGGGGGGCGCCGCGCGCAGCGGAGGCGGG